TCCCATACCCCGCTTCTCGGGGGGCCACGGTCCTCTTGAGATTGCTCACTACCATTCGAGGAAGTCTCGCTCAAACCGGATGGTCAATATCTGCAACCGTTCTCGAGATATTAACTAGTGTCCATACTTTTCGTCCACTCTGTAAACATCGATCTCTTATCAGCCGCGGGCAACTTTATGTTGCATTATCAAGATCTTCATCAAAGTATGGTCTCAAAATGCGAAAAGTGGGTGCTGGGTGGAAATGATTCGAGTAATGAGATTCACAATCAAGTTTGCCCAGAAATTATGGATTTATTTGAATTTCCTCACACATTAGAGGCGCCAAGCCTTGGAAGGGGGGCGGATTGGGCCGCAGAGTAGCTGCCAGGGGGCGCACCGCGGTTGTTCTTTGATAATATATGTATAAGCCATAACTATCAAAACACGTTTGTTAAACTAGAACAATTTACCCACTCAGAATTCGAGAAATAGCTGATTTCAGGCTCTGCCCTGGGCACGTCATTACTTGTTTTTCTTTCCCGTGCGTTCAAGTCTTCAAAGGATGTTCGATCACCTGCTAACGCGATAGGGGGTCTCTACTCTTCATACGTCTCTCAAAAATTTAAGGTGAATCAACCAATCACACGTCCTGGTGCGAGTCCTCAGTGTAGAGAAAGCCGATCGATGCTCGATTTTGATTGTAAATATCGCACTGGTGGTGAACGAAACCCTGTTTGCTATTATTGAATCCCGGAAATCGTTCTCAGCAGTCTGGAGGAAAATTTGCACCCGATTTCTGTAACTTCTAAAATGCATGGCGAATACTACTAATACGATTGATTCCCTAGTTGACACTGCGACGAAATTCCTATATTGGTTATTTCACTTTTTCTCGTTTTTTGCGTAGAGGGTGAAGAAAATCCATGGTTGCAAGTTAAATCAAATTTCAAAATGCCCTGACTCCTGTATGTACAGCAGTGCAGTTAATCAAACCCTAACAAAATTTATTGAACCATTGCTACTAATACTTCAAACAATTTGTCAACAATTAAAACAAAATTGTTAAAAATACCGTCGAATTTTTCATAAAACCACTTTTTAGTCGTGCGGCGAAGCCGTATAGACTCTAGGTTTCGCCAGAGGCTAAAAAATGTTCACACTTTTAGGCTAAGTCCAAGAGGAGAATTTTCGAGGAACCAAGTAACATATGAAGTATTGATATCGGTGCATTTTGGCGCAATGGAGATGTTGCATGTGTGAGGAATTTGCGATTTGACTGTTGATTCTTTTGTAAAAGTTCGCGAGAAACACAATGGTGCCACTGGTTTTCTCTGAATTCAACTCCCAAGCTCAAAAACTAGTTAAAATTATCATCTATTCTCACACTCCCGAACTAAGTTTGTCCCTTTCCGGGAAGTTTGAAGACGTTCGAGAATCCGTATTTTAAAAAATACGAAGATTTGAAACACACATTCTGCCGTGTGTTTATGGCGTTAAAATTACAAAAAGTCTCTTTCAATGCTGGCATTTTTCAAATCCCAAATTTTGAACTTTAAAAGTTTTAACGAATTTTATTTGAGTTTTGGAGCCAATCTTGGAGCCCGAACGTCTTAAAGTGGCCGCCTTGATCCAGTTCGGATATGATTCAGTTAAAATTCGTCCAGTGGGTCAATTGCGCTGGGCACAGAATCGTGATTCGATGCTTGATTCTTTTAGATTAGCTAAAAATAATAATATCTGTCCTAACAGCACTTTTCTACGTTCAATATTGACCGAGACACCGCCCCTTGACAAGCCGGGTTTTTGACGCCATCCTCCGCGGTAGTGACATCTTTGGTTTCTTCCACCTTGCTTTCATCAATCGGTGTGACGCACTTTGCACTGATTACTTACCGTGAAACTCGGATGAAAGCAAGGTAAAAGAAACCCAGGATGTCACTATCGCGGCGAATGACGTAAAAAACTCGACTTTACAAAGGGCGGTATCTCAGTTAATACTGAACGTAGAACGTTGCTATTTGGGCAGATCTTATTATTTTTAGCTAATCTACAAGAATCAGACATTGCAACACGATTCTGCACCACCGAAACTGACCCATTGAACTATATTTTTCAATAGGGGACTAAAATTTCTGACTTACTTAAGAATCAACGTAGGTGCTCATAGTTTCCTTATGCAGGTAGGTGCAAAATTATATTGCAAAATGCAGTCCCATTAGCCGCCGGTGTAGTGACCTTTTCGAATCTTATCAGTCATCTGGATTTCGGCGAAAACGACAAGGCTGATGGTGGCATGGTGGGCGACGCCCGGAAAAGTTGTCAAGCTAGTGACTCAAACTGCGGAGGGGAGGGGTCGAGGGTCACACGTGATTATTAAATTAGAGACACGAATATCGTGCAGATATTTTNAGTGTGAAATAAAAACGTTAATATCTTCGTTAAGAGTTGGTTTAAGTAATTTTCGTTACGCGAATCGTGTTCTACGTAAAATTCTGATCAAGGAACATGTATCAGATTGCTTAAAATCGTACCTCGTCTAGTGGTCCATTCAACACTTCCTTAAGGACAATTACAAGGGAGCAATAGTCATCACTTTTTTTTGGGCTGTTAACCTACCTACTCCTACATGGTGAATGTTGAGCTTCGGGTGACCCAAACAAGTTTCCCAAACTGCGGTTTGCTTGCAAAACGAAACTTCCAACACGTTGTTAACCATCAACAAAGTAGTAGGTCAGCAGTTGAATGCTCAGCCCCGAAAAGTAAAAGCTTCCACCATTGCCGAGATACTAAAGGAGGGTCTCTTGTCTCTGATTTGCACTTGTAGGGTGTCTACTGGTCCCCATAAGTCCCCTATGCCCCCGATTATCCCCGATTTTGGAAGGGTGTCCCCGATATCCCCGAAAGTCCCCAATTTTCTTGTTCAGGTCCATAAAAAAAAAATCCTCTTAAACACCGGCATTTTCAAATTTTCCCGCCAGCCGCGGCGGCGCTGTATAACCAGGAATTAAACAAATTGAAGTGTTGCTTGGTTTTTCGTATTATTTCATCGGTTCAACATGACTTGTAAACTAAGTCGTATAAAATACGCCTTTCAACGCTCTAACTAGCTCCCTTTCTCTCACTATTTCTGGAAAAGTCCCTGATTTTCTCGGAAAAACTCCCATAGAAGTCCCCAATTTTGGTTTTTCATAACTGGTAGACACCCCGACTAGTCAGTTATTTATTAGTTGGTTGTTTAGTATCCGTGGGTATTGAATTTGCTAGGTTG